TTATATAAATTTTATTATCATCCTGTTCCACTGTTTCTCTTTTCTTTTCCCAAGTTAATTGGCAATTTTTATGTGCCCAGTATGTTATCAACTTGAAATTACTTTTTCCATCTTCATTTCACAACTCTTACTGCAACTCAGCTTCTTATGATCATAATTATCACTGTTAAATGTTGATAACCTCATAGCTGACATTTATGTCTTATTGGTATCCTACCTAAAAACATCGTTGCTCTCAAACCGTCACTGGCTTTCTCTTACTACATATTCAATTAAAACTCCTTTGCTTATGTTTCAGAAGCCTACATAAGGTACATGTAGCCTCAAAACTAATGTTGTTTTCCTCTAACATGGCTATGTTAACTGTCCTTTCAACCACTCACTGTTTTACACCAATCTCTACATTTTCTTTGCAGCAACCAGCTCATTCCTGCTCTCATGCCTTTCTTTTAATTGTGCTCCCTTCCTAGAATGCCATCTCTTTCTTTTGGGTCCACTTTAACACCATCTCTTCTACGAACATACCTGAATGCACTGATGCATTTCTTCTCTCTTAACACCTTTGATAGTGGCATACAGTTACAGTCACTTACAATCTCACTGTTTTCTGTTTCTCCGTCTTGACTTAAGGCAGCAACTATGTTTGTACACTTTCTTTTTCCTCTACTTTACCAATAACAGTCCAGAGTCAGCACATATATATTGCCTAGGTTCTTACTTTGTGTAATTAATCCGTTAATAATTATAACTTATTTATTGATCAGGCATTCTTTACCATGCGCTTTCCTAAGTGTTTTGTACACATCATGTGATTCCTGTCTCACTGTACCTTTATAAGGTCGGTTTCATTTATCCCTGAATTTACAGATTAAGGAATTGTGACTCAGAGAAGTTGCCCAAGGTCACATGGCTTAAGAGCTGCGATTAGAATTCAGTTCTGCCTATGTCCAAAGCTCTTGCTTTTTAACTCTTCCACTAGAAGTGGAAACCGTGGTCCTTAAAGGAGCTTAAAATGTTGAAGAGACAAAAATCTAGATTATAGAGCAATTCGGGACAAAAATGAGAGTTGCTTATATTTATATATATGTGTATGAAATATATATGAACTTTGAGTACCAGGAATACATGAAGTAATGAAGAATAGATTCTAACCTAAGCATTTGTAATTGTTTCCTTAAAAACTCCTTGTCTAAAGGAGGTATAGGTATGGGGTAGTAAAAGAGAATAAGAATGCAAGATTTTAAGTAATAGAAAGACTGGAAAGCTCTGATGAGTAGTGAAGTTTTAGAGATCACATCCAATCCCTGACACATTAGTTTCAGGGTAAGAGTCAAGTTATTCTGCAAGGCTAAAATACTGTGAGTCTGGTTAAACTAATGAAATTAGTGCTCTCTGTTTTCTTTTTCAGCTCTGACATTTTATTTTGTTTTGTTTCGTTTTTTGGAGACAAAGTCTCACTGTGTTTGCTGTGTTGCCCAGGTTGGCCTCAAACTCCTGGGCTCAAGCAACCCTTCTGCCTCTGCCTCCCAAAGTACTGAGATTACAGGTGCGAGCCACCGAACCTGGGTCAGCTCAGTCTTTTATGTTTAATATCATCGGTTTGTTTAGTGTCATCTGTTTGTTTCTGATATTTTAAACAACTTCACTATCATAAAAGTGCGTTCATCATAATATACGTTATGTTCAACTTAGAGTTTTATCTGTCATTGTTTAAAGAAAGATGTTAACCAGATTTTATCTTTAAGACATGCATACATACATACATACATGCATGCATGCACACAAACATAAGTGGGTTATATCGTTCTCCAGTGCCTGTTACTCCATCCTTTAAAGTGCTGGTGCCCTTCTAATACTCACTAGATTTTATGCCCCTTCCCACTCTACAAGATCAACCAATGATTCTGTGACTATAGACTTCTCTTAGGGCAGACACCTTTTATTAGGCTTAATTTTGCTTCAAGAACATTTGATAAAAGAAGGAAACTGTTCATCATTTCTTGACTTCTTTGTTTTAAAATCAATCACTACACATATTTTAATAGATAGAAAAAGGAGCATAATTTTTTGAAAGTTTGATTTAAAATAAGTCACAGTAGCATTTTAAGAAAATTATCCACTCTTACGCATATAAACAGGTAGAAGAATTATTGTCAGCTTCTTTAAGTTTACTGAACTTTTGTATTAACTTGTGAATGGCCAAGTTAGAATCCAGCAGTATTAAAATTCCTGATTGATTTTATCTATGCATACTCAAAGTATGTTAAATTCTCTAGGACAAGGGTCAATTTTGCTTTTGTATTACAATGAAACTTTTAAGAAAAAATATATATAACAACAGATGTGCTTCAATACCTTGGTAAACCAGGAATATTTGATATGCTTGGTAGAAAATGCAATGATGTAGAAATAGTGGGAAACTGATCACAGTTGGGGAAGAGTAATTTTAAAATTTGTCCTTTTGCACAGAAGCTAAATATGAAAAAGGGAATATGGGCAATTTGGGGGAGAGAAAAGCACCCTAATGTTAACCATTCTCAAACTGAATGCAGCCTCATGAAAATCTCATCATAAATTACATTAAGTCTCTGTATTCCGTAGAAATACAAGCAAGGCAAATGATATGATACTGTTATTATAGAAATATTAGCATATTTATCTGTCTCCTTTACAAATGTTTCTTCACTTTCAACTCAAACCATTTCTTTTAGGACATTTTAACTCAGATACACCTTAATTCCATATTTAAAAGGGTAAAAGTACATTTATTTGAATGAGGAAAGAATATGTGTGTCTTTTATTTCCAAATATGTGTCATCTCCAACTTTAAGTCCTTTGATTCAATAAAGTATTTTAGAGTTTTTATACTGTATTTTTAATAGTAGTTCTTATATTTCTTTTGAAATTATGACTGTCTGTGGTACCTAATATTTAAATATTAAATCACCTTTAATGAATACTTGGTTAAGCTATTTAAATATCTTAATAACACAAATAACCAATAATTTTGTCAGTATTTCAAAGAATCAAAATTAAATTTTGAATGACTGTTTTATTCACATTTCCTTTACCCACAGATATTATAATGTTTCATGTCATTAGTAATTATAAAATAATCTCATTTTTAGTGTATATCAGTAATAGGAATTTTTATCATCAAGTAATAATATAGAGTGAAGTCATTTTTAAAGATAAGAATGCAATATACAATACAATATGAAATCCACAAAATGTAATATAGTTTTCTAGTTAATTTGTGAAAATACATGTATTTTTAAAATTCATTATGAGTACATGCATTCTACTGGACAGAGTTTTAATATGTAAAGTGATATCCTAGGATAACTGGTTATTTTCTTAAAGACTTTGTAAGTAGTTTAGAATGATGACAGAAAAAATGTGATTTTTATATTGCAGGATATAATGCATAGATTTTTAACACAGGTGTAGGAAATGGATCGATTCTGATAGTTTTTCTTTAAATATTAAACTCTCAAGTCTTCATTTTTGAAGTAAATTATTCTTTTAATGTTTATGTGATTGAAGACAATTTTTATTTTTTCTAATTGGCAGGGATAGGAAAGATATAATTATTCCAACACATAAAAACCTTATGACACAATTATTAATAATACAAAATTATTTTTCTGGTTTTTAAATTTTTCTCTGGAATATATTTTATATTACTTTGCATAAAAATAAGCCATAATTTTTATCGATAATTTTAATGTCTTTTTATTTAGGTTATATTATCTGGAGACTTATGTGTATTTTCATGTAAATATGTGCTGTCTTCAGTATTCATTATTTTATTTATAGAGAGACACTGCTTATCAGGATCTGTGGCTTACCATGAGCAATTTTGTCCTTTGGAATTTCTCTTTCAGAAAAAAAAAATTGAGATAATCCAGATAACTATGTGGAGTTTTTTTCTTGCTTTTTTTGAGAGGTTTTTTTCTTGCTTCTTTATAGAAATTCGAGCTTGCATTGTAAACACTATCTGTGGAATCTCAAGACAAATGAGAAATAAGAAACTGTAATGTGTGTGTGCATGTAAAATTTGTATATTTAATAATAAATGTATAATATTTAATAATATGAATATATATTTATTTAATAATTATTTTCTTATGTAGTTACTTAAAATTTTAACCAGGTGTGAAAGGAAGATGAAAAGAATAATAATCTCAATACTTGATGTAATATTTGAATTTAAAGCAACTGCCTTATTTTAGGATAATATATGGCTATAATTATCAAAGTAAAATTTTTCTTTTATTAACGACTTGGACTGTTTTTATTGCTTATTTAATAAGAACTATGAAGTAATGACTTACTGGAAGAATATATGTTTTAGACAGATTTCTTTAAAACCTTAAACCTCAAGGTAATTTGAGATTTGTCTGTATTTATATAATGAAGTAAAATGAACTTTTGCAAGCATCCGGTTAATTTTTATGAATGTAGTTAGACTGAAAAGATGTTTTTCAAGTGTTTTTTTTTTCATTGCCTTTCATTGCCTTTTCTGTGTTTCTATCCACCTAATCCTCAGAAAAATTGTTTCGGGTGCCCATTTCAAGAAATCAAAGAAAGAGGCATACAGGGCTTGAACCAATATGGACAGTAAGAAAATTACTGTGTATATGAAGCATCCTTACACTATGTAAATTTAAAGTAGAATATAAAAAGCTCTTAATTAGATAATATGTTATACTTGCCTTCCATAGACATTGGAATAAAGTAAATATGGATGGCTGTTATTTGCTTTGAGTCCCTGGACATACTGAAGATGAGATCACTTAAATGTGATATCTGTCTTTTCTCCCCCAAAAAGTAATGAAAGCTGAGGTGACAGTTTCTTGCTTTAAATATTCCAATGCACCAAATAAAATGCCCATAGAAAAAATACCACATCTGAATATATGTACTTTCTAAAAGGTGTGTTTATTTTATTATTCATAGTATTCTTTCTCCCCCCTCTCTCTTTTTTTCTTTTGTAGCAGTTATATGCTGCCCAGCTAGCTGCAATGCAGGTATCTCCAGGAGGGAAGCTGCCAGGCATACCCCAAGGCAACCTTGGTGCTGCTGTATCTCCTACCAGCATTCACACAGACAAGAGCACAAACAGCCCACCACCCAAAAGCAAGGTACCCTTTTGAAGAAGCCACTGTCTTGCCACTTAGTTTTATTTTTCATTCAATGGTATTTATTAAATGTCTATTATATGCCAGCAGCCTGGTTAAACTCTGGGTGTATAAGGAGGTAAGAATCAAGTAAGGGCAGCAGGTGTGCATGTAAACTTATCTGCATACATTTATTTAATCATTTATTCACTTATTCAATATGCATGTATGGATAACTATAGTAGAAAATGTGAGAGATAAAAAAGATTATCATATGGGCATCTTGTACCCAAGGAGCTTACAGTCTGATTATGTAGATATTTATAAAAATAGCCGAATAACCATATCCTATGATACAAAATAAATTTTATAAAAAGTTACAGATAAAGTACATTGGAAGTTATATTGGGTGGCAGAGATTATCTTCAGTGAGAGATCCCAGCAGGAGTTTGCCAGAGAAGGGACAACTGAAATAGACCTTAAAAAATGAGTAGAATTAGGACCTACAGAAAGTGTTTTAGAAAATATCTGTAACTGTTATAATGTGGTACAGTATAGATATAATTTTAGATAAATCACCTCCCAGTGAAATTATCATGTAAGGAAATGAAGATAATAGTAGTGTCAGAAGGAAGGCTATTTTGAAGTAGTTTTGTTTTTGAAGCTAAGAAAACATTAGAACACATGGAAAAGGATCAGGTAAAAGTCAAATAATGTATGTTTCTTGGCCTAAAAGGAGTGAAAAAATTATTTTAAGTCTGTATTTATATTAAGATCTTGCTTAAATAATATTGTATAAGTATATTAAGTTTTCCATGCAAGAAGTAGGAAGAGTGATCATAAAGCAACATTCCCTCAATATACTTAGAAAGCAACCACAAAATATTTTAATTCTATTAATATTAGAATTAAAAAGCTGACACAGCTAGTTTACCTGCAAAATATTTTTTTCCTGAATTACCTAGAAAATTGCTTCTGTTTGCCCTCCCATGAATGCCATGTTGAAGTGTCTAAGGTATAACAGGGTAAGAATAGTCAAAATCGTTAAAATATGCAGAGAAAAGGATTAGAAAATATTAAAAGAGAAAAATACAAGAACCCTAAAAAAAATCTTTCTCTAGTACTCTGATGGCCCTGTCAGGATGTCTTTCAGAGTTATTGTATGTTCCAGAGAGTGAATCAGTAAGGAGAAAGGATCAGTCAATCATTTGGAAAAGGACACTCCAGCCTCCATCTTCCCAGAACTTCCCAGTCCTTTTCCATATTATTAAAAGAAAAATATTTTGGGGAATATAACTTAACCTGGACAAGGACCTTAGACCATTATTTTCCAACAGTATATAGAAATATATAATGAAAATTATTGTATATACTACATTGACAATAGGAATATACATATGCCACTTTGAAGATCTATTTCAGCTGTTTAATGGACCATCCATCTTCTGTGCTTAATGTATATTTAAGGTCTGGTCTGCTCTTCTTTATAATCGCAACAGCATAAGTTTTAAAAACTTGCAAATAATTTTAACATTTATTAAATAAATTTAATTTTAAAGCAGTGATAATTTTAGTGTTTCTGTGGGCTGGAAGTTTTAATATATTACCTATAAAAAATGTAGTTTTGATAAAATAAATAGCTGTAGCAACATAGTCATTGTCACACACAGATCCATCTGTAAGATATTATTCTCTGTTTTTTTCCTTGATTTACTGATGTAATTTCACATCATGTTTCATAATGAGGCTTTACATCAAGACATTTCGCTTTATGATTTTAGGATATGTAGCTCACTTTTAAATGGCTGATAGATTTTTTTTCTTACACCTCCAATCACTTTTTGTCATTGATACCTTCTCACCAGATTACTTATACAAATCATCATGAAGCTTTTGATGTCAGTCAGCCTCATCCATTTATGTATCTATTCGTTTGTCCATTCAGTCATTTATCCATTCAAATGTTTATTGAGCGATTGCTACAATGATTTTTTATTAGGTAACCAGGGAAAATGCTAATGTAACTGAAGGTTTGCTTCGCTAAGATTAAGAAACTGCTTTATGAGCTATATAGTTCTATACATTCATAGAGCCTTGTAGACTCTGTTCAAAAGAGAATGATTATCTCAGTAGTGTCACAAATCTGTCACATCCTATGGTTTTATATACCTCTGTTTATTTAATACAAGTGAAAAAGCAGATTGTGTTTCTATAGCCATGATTATATACTATTTAAAAATATATTTATAGTTCTTCTTTGAAATTCATCTATGAATTTTCTGTCTTATAAAGTTTAACAGTGGGTGTTGTACTTCTGTCCATCCATAATCCTTGTAAAATACACAAAGGTTTAACTAAAAACAAAGTGCCCAAATAACAACAGTGATTTCATAAAAATATGCCCTTTCTATGCTCAATGCCCTCTAGCATACTGTCCACAACCACTCTAACTATCAGAAAAGATTTCTTAAATGTGTTTGTGTTTTAGCTCAGCAGTAAAATGTAGTGGGTTAAAAATAGCCACACCAATAAGTAATACTGTTGTCATTTTAATGAAGAACATGGCCAAAAAAATACAACCTACAGTAAATAAAGAGAACCCATTACAATACACGAATTTACTTTCTTGTAGCTTGGAATTGACATTTATACATAGCATAATAAACATTTTGACTTCACTAAGCTATTTTATTCATGTATAATAGCTATCATTTATTATCATATTTATGTTTTTAAGCAATCTATTATTAATGTCTTGGGGGTATTTTCTGTGTGTTTTATTGGCACATTTTTAAATCTATCTTACCATAAAATAGAATTATTTTATTAAAGCATTTTGTTTTGTCTACATACCTACCTGGCATAAACCAAATTGATGGTTTAAGTTAAAAGTGCATTTGCTGTTTGGAACAATGGAATCATATGTCATATCCAGGTGATGATGTGAGGATAATGATCTTATTAATAGCTGTCAAAAATTAACCATGTTCTCTGAGTTGTATTGCCTGCCCTTCTTCCTGGGTATGCCTTTGCCTTTGACTCAGAACTCTAGAGAAGGACACAAACAAAACTTATTTGCAATTTGCAAAAAAATGGAAGGGGGGAATCAAAAGGAGGGGGCTCCAAAAGACTGTAAAATTGTACAGCATGAGTCCTCTGATGCATGCTGTTTTCAATCTGCTGTGTGCCAGTTGGAGGCTTGGGGAGTGTGTGCACGAGAGAGAAAGGATAATGCTGAGAAATGATAGAGTGGCTGTGACCTCCAAGCTCAGCCTGGAAATCCAAGACATTGATTTCACTTAGCATTCCTGCTGAGAAATCTGGCAGAGTTCAGTTGTAATAAAAGAACAAGATTCTGTTCTAATGGTAATGGCGTATGACAGACATATCACTTTGTCTGTCCTCAGCACCAGAGAGAGGAGAATTGGAGAAAGGTCACCTGACCTGCCTGTGGTGTTGTACGAGTGCTGTACTGGGCTTTGAACTGCCGCCCAGGAGCATAATTATTTATAATATTAAATGATAAAGAAACCTTTAGAGGACTCACAGTGAACCTCTGAAAACGGCACAGTGGAATCGTGTTCTGTAAATGTGAAAACACAAAAAGAAATCTGGTCTGTTCAAAGTCTGCATTCATGAACATGCATAGTGTTGCTTCTTGAGTTACAGGTCCTTGAACTTACTGTTTGTGAACTGTTTGCATTAATGCCTGACATGTTGTCATGAGTTACTCTTTCTTTTCTCAATGCCTTGGTTTTATTAGTCACAAGTCAAATACATATATATATTTTTCCCCCATGGTCTATTTTGCCAAAGATTGGATGATACAGAATTAAGAGCAATGACAGATTTTTTAAATCTTCTCAGCCGTTAAAATAAAATTTCTAAATACTTGTACACTTGTCCCTTTAGCAATTATTTAATTTGTTCCCCTTTGGATCTTACTCCAGAGCTATTTTTTTCATTGACCCACAAAAGCGAATAGTATTCTCGCTCATGTGTGTCCTAATAGCTAAGTTCATGGCTAAATGTTGGTAAATAAGTGTGAATGAAAGTATAAAACCTTGAATTTTGTGACAGGAGATCCTAGTTTAATTAAAATTATAAAAATAATTCTACCTTTTCATTTTAAAGAAAATTATTTAATTGAGGTATTGTTAAACAGTATTGGCTTTTGAATCACATGTACTATAACACTGCTTTGAAGCTTTGAAGCTGCTTATAGCCTTAACAAATGTTTTAATTCATTTGTTTATAGTTCAACTTTCTAGCACAGAATGAATCAATGTGCAATGTATTCAGTGATTGTCATTTTTGCACCACATATTTATTTAAATGAATTGGATGACCTTTGCTTTGTGATGGTAATTGATCTTTTGATACATTTGTTTTCTAAAAATAAATTATTTCTTTTAAATTTAATGCAATCAGTATCAGCCTTCAGACAGTTCCTTTAGGAGGAAAAGTATTTAGACTCAGTTTTATACACAGCTCATATAATTATTAGTTATGAATAGGCTTATATTCTATGTTATCAAGAAGTCGTCAAATGCTACAGGTGTGCTAAACATCCGAACTTCACAATTTAAGTGTTCTGCCATTGTAAAAGTAGCTACATCTTGGAAAATCCTAAGAACAACTTGTAATTACTATTAAACCTCCCTTGATATTTGATGGAAACTTACATATTGCCTGCAGCAGCCAAGAACAGTCAATTTAAAAAGCCGATGACAAGAGAGAATTCCTGGGTGCTTTTCTTTTAACCTTGCTATGACCCTAGTCATATCCCGAGTCACAACTGTATTTCTATCAATGGCAAGAGCACACAGATTGTGCGAATCAATTTTTTGTTCTTTTCGAGTATTTCTGGTGGTGATCTTCCCATTTGCTCAGCAGTAGCACCTGGGAGTATGACAAGGAAAAGAAATGTTTCTCTGACAAGCCAGAAATGGCCCTACCCAGCTGACCAGACACAATCAGATTCTTTGAGCTGCAATATCCTTATAATATTGCTTCAAATTCAG